TAAATACTGATTAACGGTCCTGCGGTGCATTCTTCTACATACGCTGTAAGTCTGAATATATTCTAAAACAAACTGAAACAAGACAATATTGTGTGAAATTTGGGCAATCACAGTTGTTGCATTTGATGACGCAAGGAGCCTGAAAAAGAAGTAAATGAGCTTGTTGCATCCAGTTCATGAAAACCCATCCGTGAAGATTAATTCAGTGATTATGCTATTTCTTCTTGAAGAAGCAAAAACAACAGATTGATTAGCAGTAAAATGTTTGCTGACTGCAGCGAGGAGCTCAGAAGCGTAACACATAAACTGGACAGCACGCGAAATGAGCGAAACGCGTATTTCGACAAGTTCCGGGAATACGAGAATAAGTACTTGGGCGAGTGTCAACGCTCTCGACAGTTGCAGGACGAAGTATCTTGCTTAAGGCAGCGCTTGCTGATAGAACAGCAAAGAAATGCCAGGAATTCTCCCTCACAAACCATCAAACAAGTTAAAGGTTAGCGCACACGAAGTTATCCTTGCGTGCTTTCTTACACAGCTTTCTACCTTTTACTCTGATTTTAGGAAAAATATAAAGTAAATTAGCGTTACATTTTCTGCTTTTATAGCCCGCTAGAACAAAACATGGATGGGCTTCTGTATTCTCTTTTTGTAAGTGGAAGAGGCACTCGAAAACAGCCCGCGTGGTTGTGCATGCCAACAGCAACCACTCTCTCGAAGGCTGTTGTTGAGCAAGCTGACGGCTTTTTCGATAATTTTACCATCGAAGGAAATGAACGAGTTATAGACTAATTGTTCCGTTGGCAGAGTCGAACCGTGGACCTCCTACATGATAACCACTACATGCCGGTGCTCCGCCCCCACTATAACAATATAAGGAGTGGAATGATAAAGGTAAAAGATAAAAGCTGCTGAAGATATCATGCCGATGATTAAAGAGATGTTTTAGAGAAGCTTATCGAAAAGATCGAGAGTGTCAATGAGCTGGACACTGGAGATCCGAAGATCAGTAGCGTGGAAAGCTTCCTTGAGCAGGACGCTACTTCTCTGTCATCTTCAAAGTTTGTTCTTGAAGCAAAAGACCGCGTAACTGTTGGCAGCACTACCGGTGACTTTTTCTTCCTGAAGCCTTTACATTAAAGCCTCTACATTACCGTCGCTACTTTAATTTTCTAGAAAACTTTCCGCTATTATTGCTGCACTTTTTCGTGCTCCTTCACTTTCC